AAATAGTTGTGGACCCTTAGAGAAATGTATCTCCCAAAATAGAGATGTAGGAAAGAGAGGGATGCATAGGAAGCAAAGTAAAGGGAATATTAATGAAGAATGAAGATGGAAGAGACTAATAGCAAGAAAGAAAGTGGAGATGGTGAGACAGGCAGAAACATCTTTGACATGTAGTAAACTCTTAATAAGTACTTGTAGAATTAGTGAGTGGATGAGGCCCCCATATGTGTGTGTGTATATATATATACATGTATGCATGCATATGCACATGTGATGGAGGAATAAACGAGATAAAGGGAAGCAGAGGGAGCCATCACTACTGATGGTGGTAGGGAAGCAAACTGATTACAAAGGTTATATCAGATCAGAGCAATGAGTAGCACTTCAACAGGTGGCACATAAGCCTGTGGGGGAAGATTATAGGAGGGAGGAGATGGTATCCTAGAAGGAGTGAACAGCTCGTGGAATGCTCAGAGGCAGGAAGAGGTTTTGTTTTGTTTTGGCTTGGTTTGGTTTAGTTTGGTGTGAATTTGTGGAAAGATGGAGGTCTTCCAGACAAAAGAGGACTTCACAGATGAGCTGTTACGGTGAGCTTTATCGAGGGGAGAGGGGAAACAGGATTATTATGAGCAAGACATTGTAAGAAGAAAATAAAGACAATTAGAAACTCCAGGAAAAACAAAAGGCTGTATGAGAAACGAATTATAATAGTTCACTGCTTTACTATGCAGTGAACAATGTTACAGTCACTATACTGCAGCAGTGTTTATTAATATTAATAAAAAATACTAAATATAACTGTAATGTAAAGATGGGAAGGCAAGTAAGGCTGATGTAGAAATGAAATATTCTTAAATTATTACAGGAAATAAATGAAGAATGTCTAACATTGATTACCAAAACACACAGCTAAAAGAATTATTTAAAACCTCCCAGTAAAATGCATGGCCCATAGACCAACACTAGCATCACCTAGGAGCTCGTTAGAAATGCAGAATTTCAGGCCCTGCCCTAGGCCCACTGAATCAAATCTGCCATTAACAAATCCCCAGGGTTTGTGTACTCAGTAAAGTTTGAGAAGCTTGAAAAATTGGTTTGGGGAATAGGACTAGAAGTGGGGAAAGTAGAACAAGGAACAAGTTTGTCTTAAGTCTTATTTATCTTCATTTAGCTGTGGTCGTGGTATTTATTAGTTTGATTTTACAAGTGAAGTTCCTTAATAATTTTAAAAATAAGTACCAGGGTAGAATATGCTCTTTTTCTCACTAATACTTAATCTTATCTTGGCCCTGGCCCTCAGTTTAGATTAGAATACTCTTTCTAAGACATCACAGCCCTACTTCAACCTCACTTGCCTTTAGAAGCACTTCAGGCAAACATTGCTCCTCATCTGCCATCTGAAAACTTTGTCATAAAAGCATTTCTCAATTCCTCTGATTATCTGCAATCCCCTCCCCCATCAGCCTGAGAAGAGACCACAGCCACAAACTATCTACAAAAGGTCACAGCATCTGTTGTCTCCCCAGCTAAAAGTTTCTCTAGCTAGTCGTCGCTAGCCTGGTGGTTCTCAAAGTGTGTGCGCCAGACCAGCAGCATCAATATTACCTGGAAATTTGTTAGAGCTGTGAGGTGCCTCAGACCTATGAAGGAGAAACCCTACGGATGGGGCCCAGTAATCTGCACTTCAACAAGCCCTCCAGGAAGCCCTCATGCTCACCAACCCATCCCCTGTTCTATTCCTGGGCTGGTTTGTTGCAAATCTCACTGGGCTCATAAATTAGCATCTCCTCAGTGAGAGTTTCAGCTTACTAGCCACATTCACAAAGAGTGGAAACACAACCTACCCCACAGATGTTTTCTAAAACGTCTGGACCTCTCCCTTGCCAATCTTTTAAAACGCTATTTAAACAGAAGCTTAAACGTGTGTGCCACACACCCCGAGTTCTCTGATCGACACCACAGCCCAGCTTTGGGGTTTATACTTGTATTTGCTCCATAGCCTCCTCCGCATGCATCAGAACCAACTCCAGAGAGGATGGAGCTCCTTCTCCTTCCTTTCTGGCCCCTCTGCACCCCTCATTCTTACACCTAATTCTCTCAAGCTCCCAGACTTCAGCTTTCCCCCAAGAGATGCACTGTGGTGATAAATTCTACTGCGGTTGAGGGTGATTTGATGAGCCTAGGCCTGCCATTCCTTGCTGCCACCTGGCTGCTCCTCAGTCTCAGTCAGTACCAGTAAGCGATGAGCCCCTTAGATAACCCCAGGTGGGGGCCACAGGCTGACATCACTTCTTTACGTGGGCAACTGATAAACACCAGCCAAATCCCAAGCTCCTGCTGTAGAAAGGATTTCTACAGGAAATAGTTGACCCTGGGAAGCAAACAAAGCCCTCTGCAGAACATGGAATCCAGATTTCAGATGTTAGTTGCAAGTTGCTTTTCTTGTTATAAAGTGCCTAGTAGAACTGCCTTTCTTTTCTTTGTCTTTCATCTTTGCCTTTGCGATCTTTGGGGGCTTCACTCCATTTGCTAAAGGTGTGTGGGTGTTAGCGTCACTCTATGGAAAAAAAAACATGCACGTACACACACCACAGCCTTTTTTTCTCTATTTCTATGCAAGCCATTGCTTTTATGACTTTCTGAAATAAAGAAAAATGTCTAGTATGTAGCTACTTGCTTTTTGCAATTTCTCTTAGAAAAGAAGTTCTGCTCCTGCAAAAAAAAAATAAAAAGATAACCCACATTTTTCAAATGTGCAAAAGTTTTCTTCCCAGATGAGGGGAAAAACATATGAAAAGGTGCTCTAGCTAGCTAGTAGTAGGGAAATGCATGTTAAATAAAAACAATGTTTTCTCTTCAAATAGACAAATCATTATGAGTTTAATATCAAGGACTGGCGTTGGGAATCATGGCCTCTCACCCACTCCTGAGGGTGCAAAAATGGGTTCAGCCACACTGGAAAGAGATGATAGCAATACCTGCTAAGATACAAAGTTTGCATTCCTTGTAGCAAAGCAACTCCATTCTGGCATCCCCTCTGGAGAAATTCAATGCATTTCTTTAAGGAGGCATTGTAACAAAGATCATAGCTGCCTTGCTTATGTGGGTGAAGGTGAAATACCACTTACATGTTCATCAAGGAGACAGTGATCACATAAAGGATGGTACTTTCATTCTATGGAATACTATGCAGCCATTTAAAAGAATTAATGTGGATGTACATGCACTAATATGAAAAGATCCCCAGGGCATGTTTCTGAACAAACAAAGCAATTTGTATAATAGATGGTATGTTCAATATGATGGCATTTCTGATAGAAACAAAGCACTCAAACATTATCCATTTGTCTAGGAACATACACGTGTTTTTAAGTGCAGAGAGAGCCTTTGGAAGGATTAATATCCAAATAGCCATGGTGCTTAGCCCCTGGAAGAAGTCAGTGGGTGTGGAAGGTGGTGAAGGAGACGTTTCGTTTGTCTGTAATCATTGAATGCTTTACTATGAGAGTGTTTTCAAGAATAAATTGCTTAATTGTGTAATTAACAGTAAATATTTTAGGATTCCTATAAGTATTTCTATCTGTTGAATAACATTGGAAGATCTGTCGCTTGCCTCAAATGTTAAGTAGGCTTTGTATTTGTACAAATATACAATTACTTCTCTTTAGACGTTATTATAAAATCATCCCATTTGTCAAAACACTCATTATTCATCTGATCTTTAAGAAGAAAGATAGTTTCTCTGTGTTCAACCACAAACACACACGCACACATGTGCACACACACAGAGACGCCATAACTCACCCTGGCGACAGCAATTTCCACCCTATGCCACACTGTGCTACCATCTCAGGATGTCTGAACCACATGCAAGCAAGCCTTTCTGATTAGCTGATAACTTAGTTTCCAGGCTTCTGTGCCATCTGATTGTCAACTCATAATTCTAAAGCAGCGAAAACCAAGAGACATCTGACTTGGTGGTGATGGCTGGGTCTGTGACAGCCAGGCACCTGATTTCCTGACCCCAAACCACATAGCTTTCTGCATGCCCCCATGAGCACCCTTGTAACATGATACCCTGCCCCTCCTGCCAGGTTGAGCTTGAGAGCCAGCAGTGGAGAGACAGTGGGGCGCCTGGAAGGTTGCTGGTCTGCAGAAATCATTTCAAGAAACATCTTCATTACAACTTTCTAGTTTATATCCCTCATTTAATAAGGCAGTGTTGTATGACAAAAAGACATGGAGAGTTGGAGGAAAATGCAAAAGTAGATGTCATGGGAACTCGAGTACTTTTGTTGACATAATCACTCTCTCTCCCTCCATGGGCAGACCCACTGGAGGAACCAGATTGCAATCCTGAGGGAAATAGTTTTAAACCAGAGGATTGATGATGACATCATCTTTCATCTTGGGTGTCATCTTGGATGTCCCAGATTCGGGGATGACCTCTTCTCTCTGGACCAGACATACCTGAATTTCTTTTTATTTCAATAAGATGGCTCAAAAAAGACAGAGATGAATCATTCCCTACAAAGGCCATGCCCGGCCATCTGCAGGCATTACCCACACTGCTTCCAGGTACCTTCCACAAAGGAGGGGCACATCAGTGAAACAAGCGAGTGTAGGATTAGAGTTGGCTGCATTCCCTTAAAAGTTAGAGGTGAACCAGAGGAAGTATGCTCCTTCTTATAGCTGTGTCCCATCCCAGGCTAGGGAGGGCAGAACTTGGGGGCCCAGGATAACATCCAGCCACTACTTCATTGAAATGTTGACCATGTTTTCTAAATGAAATATAGAAGAGCAAGCAAGCATGGCTTTAAGCAAGCATGACTGGAAGGCCATGGCATCTTCTTTTTCCTGCTTCTGGAAAGGTCTTCACGAAATGAACAACAAAAATTGATTACATTCTGCTTAATCTAGCATCCCAAGGGTTTCCCATAACAAACATACAGCATCAGTAGGCTTGGATTCCTGTGCACCCCTCGCACAGCAGGACTGACCTTGCTAATGGCCTTTATCCATGGTCCTCCATCCCTGAGCAATGCCGGTGGTGATCTTTGTGATCTCATGCTCTGGCCGTCCCTTCCCGCCCATGCACATGCACTGTCTTTAGCTCTTCAGTCAGTGTCAACAAGACCTGCTAGCCTGAGGGATGCTCTGCCTTCTCAGCAACTCTGTGTACCTCTACTGTGGCCATCATGTGTGCATTTGACAGCTGACTTGGTGGGAATGCTCTTCAAAGTGGGGATCTTATTAAAATACAGATTCTGAGTCGGTAGGTCTGGGGTGGGGCCTGAGAGTCTGCATTTCTAACAAGTTTTCAGGCAATACCCATGATGCTGGGCCAGGACCACATTTTGATGTCAAGGGAGAGTCTTATATCCACGATTGGGAGGTGTGGGGAGAAGGCCTGCCCCATGGTAGCCTTCTGAACAGAGAAGGACTGTAAGGGCTTGATGAGACAGTGTATCAGAGAAGCTTGTAACTGTAATGTGTGGGGAAAATATCAGCTGTTATTGTGATTTTCTATCATGTAGATGATATACTTGCTTTGGAATCAGAGAGAGCTGGGTTTACCCCCTCTACCACTTACTGAGAATTTGAGCAAGTCACACTCAATCTTGTTAAACCTCACTTTTCTTAACTATAAAATGAGAAGCTATTATTTAAACAAAGCTATATTTGCAGATATTGACTCAATACATATTTACATATTCATTTTTCTCTCTGTTGATCTAAGTGAACAAAAGTTTTACATGTGCGTATATGAGTAACTCGCTAAACATTTCTGCTAAATGCTGAGAATCTAGAACCAGAACTTGGCTAAAAATTCACTCAAAACTGTTTAATGAAACAGCTTTGTTAAGAGTCACCTGGCTCTCTAAGGTTCGAAAAACTTCTTGGGGAACCCAGAATGATTTATGGTTTGCTACCACAACTCTACGAAGCTAGTAGTTTCAATCAAGTTTCACTTGCACAAGTTCAGTAGAAAGCTGGGGAAAATCCTCTTGAAAGAAAATTGCTGCCCTTGACTCCTTCTCATCACCAGAGCTATCCAGAGACAGAATATGGAACCCATTCCAATGGGGCTGACATTTATCTTTGGCTAATATAAGTTTTCTTTGTTGTTGTCGTTGTTGTTTTGAGACAGGGTCTTGCTCTGTCATCCAGGCTACAGTGCAGTGGTGCAATCACAGCTCACTGCAGCCTCGACCTCCCCAGCTCAAGTGATCCTCCCACATCAGCCTCCTGAGTAGCTGGGACTACAGGCATGCACCACCATGCCCAGCTAATTTTTTAACATTTTGTAGAGATGAGGTCTCACTATGTTGCCCATGCTGGTCTTGAATTCCTGGGCTCAAGGAATCCTCTCGCTTCCTCCTCCCAAAGTGCTGGCATGAGCCACGGTGCCCAGCCTAAGATGAGTTTTCTAAAGAAGTGCTAAATACTAACAATATAAACTTCCAGCCTCGCCTTTTAATTCCAACTCAACCCAAAGATTCTTCAAGCAAGGTTGATGGATGTGTTCAGACTAGCAGGTGCAAGAAAAAAAACTTGAATTGCGGGAATTTGGCAGGAGCCAAGGATAGTTCTGCCACAAGAATGGCCCAGAAGTGCCCATCATTACAAGTTTACTTTCTGCCAGAGTTGTCATAAGCAGTTTTACACCATATTTTAAAATTTTTACATATTTACACCATGTTTTACGCCGTATTTTAAAATTTTAACAACACCTTGAGAGGAAGATATTATTATTACTCCCATTTTACCAAAGGGGGAACTGAGTGAAAGAGAAGGCAATTAACAAATTAATTTAAAAGATGAAAAATGTAACTGTCTTTTGGGGTTTTTTTCTTTTTTTCTTTTTCTTTTTTGAGATTGAGTCTTGCTCTGTCACTCAGGCTGGAGTGTAGTGGCACGATCTCAGCTCACTGCAACCTCAGCCTCCCGGGTTCAAGCTATTTTCCTGCCTCAGTCTCCTAAGTAGCTGGGATTACAGGCATGCACCACCATGCCCAGTTAATTTTTGTATTTTTAGTAAAGATAGGGTTTCGCTATGTTGCCCAGGCTGGTCTCCAACTTCTGACCTCAAGTGACCCGCCTGCCTCAGCCTCCCAAAGTGCTGGGATTAAAGGCGTGAGCCACTTCACCTGGTTGCAACTATCTTATTTTTAGCTGCACAACATAAAACCAAATTATTAACCTACTTAATTGGATCCATTAATTGTCATGAAATAGCCTCCATGGTGAACACAAGTCTTCTGTGGTATACACAAAGCTGAACGTTACAGCACTACTGGTTATATTGAAAGACTCTAAACAACCCAAGTCTAAAACCAATTACTGTGGATCCAGGCAGTGGAAGGGTATGAAGCCATTGGTATGTTTTCAAAGAACTTTTAGTGACATGAAAAAGCCCTCATTATATACTATGAAATGAAGAGGGTAGGCTATTTTACACATTCATTTATTTATCCAAACTTAGTTATCCCACATTTGCTTTTCCAGCATAGTTCTGTGAATATACCTGGTGAATCAGGCAGGCTTGCCCTTGTAGAGCTGACAGTATGGTGGACGTGAAACTTCCCTGGAAGAAAAAGCCCCAAAATGTTAACGGTTTTCTTTTCAAAAGAGTAGAGGTTTTTAAATTTTTCATCTTCATTTTTATGTTGTTTCAAAATGTTCTATATTAAGCATGTATTACTTTTTTATAGATTCATTGAGTTATGATTAGTACACAATAAACTATACAAGTTTGAAGTATGCAATTGGATAAATCTTGCTGTAGTACACACCAGATAAATCATCACCTCAATGAAGGTGGTGAACATATCCATCACCCCAAAAGTGTCCTCAGACCCATTTGTTATTCCTTCCTCCTACCACGCCACCACCCCTCACCACATTCAACCACTGATCTGCTTTCTGTCACTACAGTTTGCTTTGCATTTCTAGAATTTTATATAAATTGTAATACATAGCAAATGCTCTTTCATCTGGCTTCTTTCAGCATCATTTTGAAATGCATTCATGTTGTCGTGTGTACCAATAGTTGTTTCCTATTATTGTGGAATAGTATTCAATTACATGGCCTATACCAGTTCGTTATCCATTCATTGACTTGTAGACATTTTGGTTGCCGCTGATTTGGGGTTATTACAGACAATGCTGTTATAAACGCTCAAGTATCTGCAGGAACATATATTTCTTTCTCTCTTGGGTAAACACCTAGGAGTGAAATGGCTGGGTCATATGATAACTCTGTTTAACTTTTTGAGGAACTGCCAAACTGTTTTCAAATGACTGTATCATTTTTATGTTCCTACCAGAAGTGTATGAGTTCATTGTTCCCTCTCTTTTAAAATTACATAAGAAATAAATGAATACCTCCTGTTGTAAAAAGAAAATCCAAAAGCTTCAGAAATATAGAGTAAGAAAAGTGAATGTTCCCTTTTATTCCATCCCTTTCTTAGTTCCTCATACCTATTTATCATTAAAAGTTTGGTGTGTGTTCATCTTTTCTTTGCAAGAGTGTGTGCATGTATGTGCATGTGCACGTGTTTGCATGTGGAAGCATGTATGTGTGTGTAAGTGAGATTCTGTGAGCTCTGTTGCTCTAACTCTGGCTTCACTCACTGAATAATGAAGCTTGGAGGTCGTTCCTCATCGGTGCATGAAAATGTCAATCTTTTGAATTGTTGCTGAGTATCCTACTTCAATAAGCAGAGGGAAGAGGTGTTTTTCAATGTGGTTAGAATTCTAGTTACCCTTCCTGTGAAAAAGGCAGGTCTCTTCAACATTTTCTATTCATGTGACAATTAGAGAAGCTCCTTCTTCTCCTCAGGAAAGGCTGCCTGTGGGGAAGGATTGCATTTCTTTTGGTGGATCTGGGTCTTCTGGGAGCAGCACAGGCATGACCACCCTTCTGGAGAGTGAAAGAACAGTCAGTGGAAATGTAATGGATGGCCACAAGGTGTGACAGCTCTGCCATCACATTAGGTTTATGCTTGTCTCACGTTCCTCAGAGCAGAATTGCCTTTCCAGACCCACCATTTGTTCTGGTACTTAGTGGTGAGGAAGCTCACTTTAATTAAGTGTAGTCATTCTGAGAAGGGCAAAAGGGCTTCAACTCTTCAACTTTCAGCTTTGGAAATGAGTAAAATTGGGAGTTTCTCTTTATCATGTTAGAAAATCTACCACATTGGCTGAATGTGGTGAGAAAACCTACTCCCTTGTTTAAAACAGACAATAATGCAACCCATATTTGGTCAGCTAAACAGTTTTTTACTGTCTCCCCATGTGCGTTTTTTCTCTCTTATATTTTCTTTTAATAATTAATGATACTAGGACTATATTAAGTGGTACCTCTTTATCTCTCTCTCAGCAATAAGGTGGGGGCTAAATCATTTACACTTATTAATACATAAAATTAGGACTATATTATAATAAAGTTGCATGTCCCACACTGAACATTGGCATAATATGTTTTCATGTCATTAAATACTAACCAAATATTAAATCCACATCTTAATTGTTGATGACTTCATAATATTTCAGATACAGACATACCATAATTTATAACAGTTGCCCTGTGGTTGAAAGATTTTTACTAATAGATGAAGATTTTCAGTAGCAATAAGTGAAGAAAAGTTATAAAAATTATTCATTATGACAAGTGGAAATTAGGTTCTAGTAGCAATATTAAAATTAAATCATGTATCACATCTTAAAAATTTGTTATCTTCCTATGATAAATGCCTTCCTCGTTATTTTGAACTAAATATGCTACTCTTTTTTACTCTTTACTCTCAAACTTTAGAAAATGTTTCACAAAATGTATACTTAGTAATTTGATAGCAATTTATAATTACACATTACCTGCTAGTCTCTGACAAATATGTTGGTTAAGTGTCCACTTTTGTTCAACCTTTCCACAGGGGACTTGAACATCACAGTCAGTCTCACACATAGTGTCCAGCTGTGTGTCATGTTAGAGATATCATGCATGACATCGCCCCCAAAATGCATTTCTTAAAAAAAACACTTTCCTGCTTAACAAAAAATAACAGTATCACACCTAAAATTAATAATCATTCTTTAATATCATGTAATAGCCATTACATTATTCAAATTCACTAAATGTTTCCCTGAATGTCCTTCCCCGCTTCTTTGTCCAAACCAGGAACCAGTCCTGGACCACACATTGCACCTGGCTTTTATGTCCTCTCTCTAGCTTTTAATCCAGCCTCCAGTCTCTTCATGGGTAGCTTCTTATTGCAGCTGCTTGGCCAGTGGCCTGTAGAGGCCCCCTACATTGCTTGCCAGTGATACCATTTAGCTTGTTCCTCTCTCCCTTGTATTTCCTGGAAGTTACATCTACATATTGATTAGATCCAAGTTAAACATCTTTGGCTAGACTGCATCACAGGGGATGCTGTGACATCAGAATTCATTACCCCAGGAGACATGGAATAACTTGTTGTCCCACTATTTCTGATGCTAGGATCAACCTTTAGGTGAGGGTGATGGTGGTCTGATCCATCCATTGTACAATTCTGTTTTTCTCCTGAAGACCCGAACCACATCAGCCATGTTACTTTGGCACCATACGGATGTCCAAGTCCCATCAACCACTCCCCTAAAGTCTCCAAGCACAAGTTGATAGTTCTTGCCTGGATCTACATTCTCATTAGGAATTGCAAGATTATGACTTTCATCCTTCTACATTTAGCTGGCATTCTTCAAGCTTTATGTTGTCAACTGGAGCTATTTGCTTACCTTGAAATATAGTTTCTACCTGAGGACATTAGATGCACTTTTCTTTCAGTTACACAATGTCAAAATAAGACATTGGTATTAGCTGCCTTGAATGAGTTTCTTCTGGCAGTATTCTTTCTGAGTATCATTATGGACTCATGAAAATACATTCAATGCGAGTGTGTTTTTATTGAATTATTCTTGGGTCTCATAATACTATTCTCACCAGAAAGCAAAGCAGTCAGAACTGAGTTTGATTTAAAACAAAGTTTCAAAACAAGAGTAGCTCCAAAGATAACATTCTGGAAAGAACTACTTTCCTAGAGAACAAAGGCGAGATCATCTAACAAATTACTGTCATTATTATTTATATCTGTGCTCCCTCCACATCTTCAAGATATGG